TATACACTATTGTACTCTCGTGACACTTAGTTCTGCATTTCTTGCTAGCTAATTACCCTGATAGTATTTATCACATCTCGGATCCACAAGCCCATATGCATGATGTAAGCCCGTAGATGTTGTTCCCGATTGTCACATCTTGATTCCCATGATTCCCATAATTAATCGATTCCAAATTATTTTTAGTTCCTAATGCAAGACTAATAAATGAGATTATCACAAATTCACAAACACTTCTGCCTTAAATATGTAATATCCTAGTTGAAAAAACAGTGGTCTATCTTGGATCACCACCATGGAATGTAGATTTAGAGATGACTCTCACAACACTCACGCGATGTAGCACTTAGTCCTACACAACACTTAGTTCTACACTTTTATATGGTTAATTACGCTAATATCACTCGTCAGGCCTTAGACCCATGATCTTGTTGGCGCAAAGTAAGCCCTGGGACCAAGTACAACATGTTCTTGGCCTCAAATCACTACAAAAAGTAATTGGCCATTGTTGTCCTTTAGCCCATTGGTGTGACAAATGATATCAGAACAGTTAACCAGTTAGAAGTGTGTACTAAGAGCTACACGGGACTTAGTGCTTTTTTGCGTGAGCGTGGTGGGGTCACCATTAGAATCCTTAGGAGCTACCTCTAGAACCTGTTGGAGTCGGTGGTGATCCTACATAGTTCGTTATCATATCGGAACAAGGACATCGCATATTTGTGGTGGGGGTGGTTGTGATACATCATTTGTTTAGCCCCACATCAAGAACTTACAAAGATATGCTTGAGTTTATTAGATGAGTCCTAGAAATCTAGTGTGATAATAACTAGTCATTTTACAATGGTTTGAGCCAGATCTCAAGACTTACATCACGCCAATGGATTCGCATGCATGGGGCATGACATTTACAGATAGCAAACGGATATGTGCTTCAATCGTAGGGCAGCTTGTCGCCCTCTCCTCTCTAGAGGTGGGTCCCGAATGTGTTAGATACAGGGTACTGTAGCTGTCTAAAAATCACAATAGATAGTTGATCTATGTCAAACATCAACCAACAGTTCTGGCTAAGAAGGTTACAATCAGACGACTTTTATGTCAATAAAGGAAGGCTACAATTAGAGGATTCTCATGTAGATTAAGAAGAGATTACAAGTCAATAATTTCTTCAAATCGAGGTGCAGAATTCATCCCTGCATCCCAAAGTTGAAATACAAGTGCTTACGTTCCAGAGTCAAAGCAACGCAATCACCACATCTTCAGCTACCAACACAACTCAAACACAGCATAAACGCAGTGTTTTCAGCCACTGAACGCAGCACAAACGCGGTACCGATTCAATCGCGGACGCAACTCTAACTCAAACGCTGACGCATCATCCAAAAGCATGCGTTTGAACATAGGCTCATGCCCAGAACGTAAATCATGGCTTGGACTCATTCAAACATGATCCAAACAGTTCCCAAAACCGTTTTTCACCCATGATCTGGGGAGTGGTTCGAGTGGGTTGTTACACCCGATTAATGGGGCGACTAAACCCCCATTTAGGAGCGGATTAAGGGGGTAGTTACACCCCTAATCTCTCTATAAATCCCAACAAACTCCACAGAGTGAAGGGATCGGATTTTTATGATCTGAGGATGATTCTTTCGGCTAGAGTTTTGGAGATCGAACTTCCAAAAGTCGAGATCAAGGGCTGGGGCTTGGAAGACATTCTTCAGCAACAAAGAATTCATATACTTAGCGTATTAACCGATTATTCGGTTCAAACAACTCTTTTGACAGAGTTTTGCACTCATTCTGAGTTATAAAACTCGTGAAGAGTTCTCCAATTGTTCCAGTAAAATAAGACGTTCGGATCGTCAACGAGAAGTAAACTCGACACAAGCATTCGAGGGAGGCATCTCATCACTACCGTGAAGAACCCAGATTTAAATAAAGGGGAGAATTCAGATCAATTATCATCTCTTTTGTAATCAGGAAATTCAATTATAATCGAGATCGAGAGAATTCAAATCAAATTTTTTTCATTCTTTTTACTACAAATTTTCCACCAAACAAAAGATGGCGACTCGGCTGGGGACTAGCTTCTCTGACGAAGAGGTGATGGCGCAATCCGACGTCCATCTTGCTGGAATAACCGTGGAAACTCTCATCGTAGAGTTTGATCAAGCCAAGTACGAAGAAGCCTTCTTCTCCGGATCGTTTAGCCCCAAAGCTAGGCATAATGTCAGCAAGATCTCCAAAGAGATCAATAAGCCAACTGTTGCCACAATATAATTGACGGTCTCACCATCTGACCAAGACTGTTCAAACGACCCTTCCTTGGAAGGAATGGGCTTGGATTCTATCAAACTCGTTTCACGAGTTAAGAATTGCAGGCCCAAGTCCACACGCTCCGTGTCGGGTCATAAACGACCAATGGCGGAGAAAGGTCCAATCAACGCCGACGACATTGCTGCCAAAGCGTTGAAACAAGCCAAGAAAAATGCAGCTCGAAGAAGGAGAAGATCCATATGACGAGCTCATCTACGAGATAGTCGAAATCTGAACCAACGTGAAAGACGCGTTCTTGGACCTCCACCTGAACGCATACTTCGGACTTCGGGGTAACGAGCCCCATTATGAGACTCGCGTGATACAACTTAAACGCAAGCCTCATCGACACATGGTTCACCTAAAACAGGACCCTCAAGGGTCTGTTCCATCAACCAAACGCTAGTTTCGGCCTAGGGTTGGTAAATCACAACGCGACCCTCGCGTTTCTTCTCCAGAACACGATGTGGTCTGCCAAGTTCAAGGGGGTCGGCAGGGGTTTAAAATTCATGTCCGACAAGAACCAGTCTCACCCACTCAAGGGCAGGGGGTTCCATTGCCGTCCTCTCGCTCAGAAAGAGATTCCTCTCAAGTCTCTGATCTACGAGAATGGTTGTCGAATTCCATTGCCGTCCTCTCGCTCAGAAAGAGATTCCTCTCAAGTCTCTGATCTACGAGAATGGTTGTCGAAAGCGAGACCGATACAACAATCAGAAAGAGATTCCTCTCAAGTCTCTGATCTACGAGAATGGTTGTCGAAAGCGAGACCGATACAACAAGTAGCTCATTCATGTCAATGTGAGCAGCTTATTTCCGCAGTCCTTTCAGAATGCCACTGCTGTGCATCTGAACCTCGACAATCGGTATTCAACCGATTAACAAACATCACCAGGCCTGTCAAGCGACGACGTCATCACAAAAAGAAAATAGCCGAAGCTGAACATCCCGAAGTCATTATTAATATGATAGGTAGAGGGAAGGCCTTAGCTCCCAGTTCGGACGAATCAGAAAGAAGTCATTCCCCGACTGTTCGGGAAATCTGTGAAGAGTTTGAAGGGATATAGCGACGCACCCGAACTCGCACCGGAGTTATCTGCTTGGTTAACTATCGTAAGTTAGCCAAGGGGATTACTTCGGATGATGAACATTCAGCAATTGCTGATTCTCAATCATCAAGCTCCGTCATGGCACGAGAGACTCTTGTTTACATGACTGGAGGCCCCGAAGACTTAGCAAAGAGAGTTAATGAACATCAAGCCATACTCCAGGCACAAAGAGACACTCCTCCAGATGAAGGACATGTTGGCCCAGCTCCTTGTAGAAAAAGGCCAAAGGCCGAAGTCTTCCTGGAGAACAATTTCAAAAGGAAAGCAGAAAGCGCCTGAGAATTCAGATCGCAAAACTTACAACCTGGAATCCTCCTCCGAAAATGAGAAGGAGATGGAAAGAGAACTGAATCCTCAGTCATCTAAGATCGATGAACTAGAGGCTCGCCTCAACGCAATTGCTAACAGAAGTGAACTTCACGAGGAAGGAGTGGTACGGTCTTATCAGCTCCCTATCCGCCAAAATTTAAGGCTGCAACCTTACAGCCCTTTGATGACACATGATCACTGAACCAACACATCTACTACTTCAAGTCACAGACAGGAGATGTGGTAGCAAACGACGTCATTCTGACCCGTTTGTTCATCGGCACCCTTAAGGGTGTTGATTTCAAATGGTTCATGAAGCTGCATGCTGGATCTAGGGATTGGCGATTCCCGTATATCGACTATGTCTTGTACAGAATTCTGCCTGACAATTTCAAGAAAGCAGCCGCCATCAAACGAAAAGCCCTCCGATTCTATTATGACGCAGTTTCTCAAATTTTGTATCGTAAGTCACACGATGGAATTTTGCTTCGATGCCTTTCTCGAAAAAAGCAAAGGAGGCTCTCAAGGAAGCTCACGACGGAATGTGCGGAGCTCATTAACCCGGGGCTAAGTTGGGAGATCACCTCCGACGAATTGGCTATTATTGGCCAAAAATATTTTCAGACGCAGTTGATTATGCTAAACATTGTCATGCGTGTCAAATTCATGGTAACTTTATCCATCAAGCGTCAGGGAACTTACATCCCACATCTACGTCTTGGCCATTCGAGATGTGGGGAATGGATATCGTAGGACCAATCTCTCCTCCGACTTCTAAGGGATACCGATTTATTTTGACCGTGACCGATTACTTCTCTAAATGGGCGGAGGCAATCCTGCTGAAAGAAGTCAAGACTTCGAACGTGATTAAATTCATCAAACATCACGTCATCTACTGTTTTGGAGTCCCGAGACAAATAGTTCACGACAATGGAACACAATTTGTCAGATTTGGATTTTAGAGATTTTGTGATAAATTTAGAATCCAAAGTGTTGCATCTATGGCCTATTATTCGCCAGTAAATGGCCTTGCAGAAGCTTTTAACAAGACCATTGTGAAGTTTCTCAAAAAGTTTGTTTTCAAGAGCCAACGCGATTGGGACGAAAGACTCGGCGAATGTCTGTAGGCCTATCGCACAACGGTGAAGACCCCTACAAAAGCTACGCCATTCTCTTTGGTATACGATTGCGAAGCTGTGCTACCGTTAGAAATTCAGATCCCTTCCCTGAGAATCGCCATCGCAACCGGAATGACAGAAGAAGAGAAACATCGATTGCGCCTTCAGGAACTTGAAGCCTTAGACGACAAGTGACTTTAAACCCAGCAGCAGATTGAGTTATATTAAGCCCGGATTTCTAAAGCCTACAACAAAAAGGTTAAAGAACAGATTTTCAAGAAAGGTGATTTGGTCTTAGCCGTCAGACGACCTATGGTGATGACATACAAAACCAAAGGGAAATTGAATCCCAAATGGGAAGAGCCCTTTGTGATAGAGACAGTCTATTCCAATGGAGCCTACCGTCTCATCGATAAAAAGGCGATAGACTCATGATGCTAATTAATGGAAAGTTTCTCAAGAAATATTACTCGTGGATTACGAAGTCTCTTTTCGCTAAAACCCTCCAAGGTAAGCCTAGCTGGGGGTGGCCTACTAGAAGTTCGTTTGAACAAAAAGTGGTAAATTGTTTCTCCTACTTTGTATGTCATTAAGTTAACATTACACCTCTGACGATTGAAGTTGTCGAGAACTATTATAATAAAGAAAATTTCCAAAATATACCAGATGATTGTCAACGTGATCTAATCCTGTGGAAAAGTCCCAACAATTTGGAATACGTCTAGCCTTCCTGAATGCAAGTCTCATAACTGCATTTCAAGTCTCTTAGACGTAAGGCCCAACCCTGCGTTTTTGACTTTTAAAAGGGGACAGACCTGCGTTGAATTCATTCAAACACAAAGGTTTAACCATAACAGGGGAATTTCCAGAGATTACTCTAACAATAGCAAAGAGAATCTGCAATTCAAAGTGATGATCACAATTCAGAAGAGCACAACACAGAAAATGCAAAGAAGAAACAAGCAGCAGCAATTCATTCCATGCAGATAATAAGTGTTTGGAGAAATAATGCCAAGTTATTACAAAACCAAAATAAAAGTAAGGGTTGCTAGAGCTTAAAATAAAGAGAAGCTTAAAAGATAAGCTTCGGTTTCATATACATCCTTTTCATGCTTCGCCAACGCCTCTTCTTCAGCCTTCTTACGGAGTTG